CCCCAAAACCCCAAAACCCCAAAACCCCTTGTAGAGTAAATTTGGAAATTTTGGAAGATTTTAACTAATCTGCTCTAATAAGCATCATCATACATAATTCATTATAATCTTAGATAGTTTAGTAAATTAGAATACTAACAAAATGTCTGATAAAAGTTAGTAAAGGAAAACTGAGGGTGGCTTGCTTGCTACCCTGGATGCTCTTGACAAAAAATACAGTGCCTATGTTCACAACATGAGAGCTCCGTTCTTAGTTCAGCTATATATCTTGTTTTGGGGTCAGATATTCAACAAAGAAGGGCCTCTAGTATCACTTTTTAGTATTTTATACTGCTTGATCAACTACGGTTCAACTCAGGCATATGCGCCTTTATATTATGGATTAACTTATTTCACTCAAGGAATGATGGCATATTCTTCGACTTAGGTGATTAAAAGAATTTTTGCTAGACCTAGACCAGTACACGACAAAAATATCTACAGAATCAAAGATATTAGAGGCAAAGAGATATGTGCATCATGGCCTAGTGGGGATTCTTCACAAGCATCATTATTCGCCTTCTTTCTGCTATTCAATTTCCCATAATTCGTAGCATAGTTACCTTTTGGAGGTTATTTTTTAATCATAGGCTGCATTCACGTATCTTTTGCTAGAGTGTTTTTCTAATGCCATTACTTCGGTGATGTGATTGGCGGATTAGTAATTGGGGCAATCTTACAACAAATTAATCATCATATTGCTAACTGGGTTGTAGCTTGAACACTAGAGCTCAAGAAACAGTTTGATTTGATGATAATTTGTCGATAGTTTCTATTGATTTTTTAATTACAGTTTTTATCTTAACAATGCTATAAGTTTAAACTTTAATCTCAATTAGTAATAATAAATAAAAGTTAATATGGCATCTGAAGAGAGCAAAAATAGCAAGAAACCATTCAAGGGAGTAAGTATTATCGAATACACTATTGAACTTCAAACTAACTTCCATCTATAGGCTAAGGTCGACTGGCCACCTGATATGCCCGATGATATGCTAGAGGATGCAATCACTATTGCCAAGCAAACACTCGATGCTCATGATTTTGAAACCCAGGGAGTAGAGGTAGGAATTTAAATTTTAAGAGGGAAATTTTGAAGGTCTAATTTATTTGTTTCATTATAGATTGCAAGACTTGTCAAGAAGTACATGGATGATAAGTGGGAGCCATACTGGCACGTGTTCCTCGGCAAGTCCTTTGGATGCCACTCTGTCCATGAAAGAAACCGTTTTGTTTACTTCACATTTGAACAGAGCAAGATCTCGTTCCTCATCTATAAGGCCTCATGAGGAATGAATCTTCTAGCCACTGTATTTAAATATATGAAGGGGCATCACTATTAAGGGTGAATTGAAGAGCCAATATATAAATATTGCTGAGTTGTTTGATTTTGTCTAACTCCTTTGGAAAATCTCTAAACCCTCTTACTCAACTTCTTAATCAATCTGAGATCGTCGACGAATTTCAATCTCTTTTATCAAATTTTTGCAAAGATTTGAAAGAATAAGCAGTAACAGTGTAGGAAAATATGGAAGAGAATTGGAAGACGGTTGGACTTGATCTTAAGGTGAAGGCAAGCTGAGTGATGATTTTAGAATTTCATGAGCCAAGACAAAAGTACGAAAACAGCCTAGTTTATAACTCTTAATTCATTCTAATAAATATAAATACACAAGTTCATTACTTTTATTAATTCTATTGGTTATATGTAAATTTAAAATTTCCACAAATTTTCCTTGAAGGGGTTTTGGGGTTTTGGGGTTTTGGGGTTTTGTCTTG